GCTCACCTTAAACCCAGATCGTTGTACCTATTGGTTGGGGTTAGTGTGACATTGCAGTGGTAATATGGGGCTGGAGATACGGCTCATCATTTCAGAGCACCGGCTGTTCTTGCAGAGGAGCTGAGTTCAATTCCCAGCACTCACAGTGGAGGCTCACAACTGTCTGTAACTCCAACTACAGGGGATTTGATGCCTCTGAGGACACTACTTATGAAGTAAACACACACACATACACACAATTAAAAAGAAAATAAATCTATTTTTTGGGGGGAACTGCTTTACCATCACCTTGAGGTTTCAGTATTATTATTATTTTTTTGAGACAGGTTTTCTTTGTGGAGTCTGGCTCCAGCTTTTTATATAAATGCTGGGAAACAAACTCAGCTCCTTATCCTTGAATAGTGAGCACATCACCCACAAAGTCATCTCCACAGCTCTTCCTCATTTCTTGGATGAGGAAACTCACTCAGATCCTGAGGTCACATGGCTGGAACAAAACAGCATCATGACCACCACAGAAGTCCTGGGTGGTGATGTCACCTGAGGGAGATGGAAGCTCCATTGAAGTTCTTTTGGGGACTGTAGAAAACAGTAATCAGCATGTTCTTCTGCAGGGAGATAGCCCAGGCCTCCAGAGACCTGTTAGGATGGGAAGAAGAGGGGATATGGCTATTGGATTGAGGTGTTAACAGAGAGGCAGAGGATGGAGAAGGTCAGGACTCAGTCACCTCCACCCTCTGAGTAAGCTCTGGATGACAGTCTGCTGGGAATTTATCTTGACCCCAAAGACAGCCAGTGCATGCCTGTACACTGGCTTATTGAAGACATACCTGGAGAGTGGAGGGTCTCTTGATGGCTTGGAGACACTTATGATCTCATGATTTCAGAGGATGATGCTTGGACCTCACTGCATTCAAAACATGAACCTGGGACTGGATTATGGCTCCGTGGGTAGTGTGCTTACCTAGCATGCTTGGAGTCTTGGGATCTTTCACTAGCACAGACTACCACAGGCAGAAGTCTGTGACTCCAGCACTCAAGGGGTGGAGACAGGAGGCTGCCTGGTGGCAGTGCAGCTTTTGGAGAGGCCAAGGTGTAGTGAATCTTTCTCTGTCCCACCAGCCAGCTCTGAAATCACGACATGGACACTTATTATTAATTATGAAGGCTCAGCTTAGTCTTGTCCCACTAGCACTTATAACTTAAATTAACCCATTTCTATTCATCTACATGTTGTAATGTGACTCATAGCTTTTACCTCTTCTCCTGCATATCTGTTCCCTCTGCATCCACTGGCAACTCTTCTTCCCAGCATCCTCTGTGCCTTGGAATCCTGCCTAGCTATTGGCCATTCAGCTTTTTAGTAAACCAATCAGAGTGACATCTTCACAGTGTACAAAAAGATTATTCTACAACATTTCCCCCTTTTTGTCTAAATAAAAAGGAAAGGTTTTAACTCTAATATGGTAAAATTATATACAATAAGAACAATTATCATGTAAGAATTGTATTCACAATGTCCCATCTATTTTTATTTGACAAATTTACAGAAAATACTCCATTAACTATCCTTTCTTGATGAGTCCAGAGTTTTGTACTTAATTTACTTTTTGTCATAACTAAGGAAAATTCTCACTATACCTATCTAGTCTTCAACCTCATCAAAGACTGGAGAAGATTATAATATTACCTGAGTAAACAGGAAGTGCAGAGCAAACAACATCTAAAACTATGAAACAACAAAGACAGCTGGCTTTCTGAACAGTTACACAAGATTCCTCTGCAATGTTGGGGCATCCACCTTCAGCCTAGAGGCCTAGAATATCTGACAGATTTATCTGTGGAGCAGAAACATTGAAGGGCTGTCCTACCTTGTCTTGGCAAAGTTCGGCAGTCACCTTCTTTTGTATCCTGCTTGTCCGGTTTGGACAGTATACTATCAGCAGTTGAGGCAAGGGCAGTTTCTTTACCCAGATGGCTAACTTTGCCACAAAGAAAGCAAACTCCGTATGGAGTTTCTTTGATGCTCATTAACCTTTTTTTGAAGTAGATTGGTGCTGCTAGGAACAGATGTGTCTCACTGTCATGAAAAGCCTTATGTTATTAAAACATCTTTAATGCCATATTCTGTATATCTCTGAAGTGTTTGAAGATGACCTGTTTACCTGAAATATATCTCTGTTTGACCTTGAAAATAGACCTAACATGACTATACCAAGTGGCTTTTAAAAACTAACATGGGGGTATGGGGCTAGAGAGATGGCCCAACAGTTAAGAGCACTTCCTTCTCTTAGTCACAGAAACAGGAATTGGGTGTAATTGTTTTTCTTGTTGTGACAGAAGCAACTTAAAGAGGAATGGGTTGATTTGGCTCCAAGTTTTAGGGATGCTTCAGTCTATCTTGGCAAGAAACACATGGTAGACTTCAAGGCCCTGAGCATGGAGCCGACTGTCATGGCAGACAGGTTACAGAGAACTGCACAGGAAGCGGGGTGGGGCTTTAACCTCAGAGCACTTGTCTCCCAGTGACCCACTTCCTTAGACAGGCTCCACCTCTGAAAGGCCCTGCAACAGCTCCAATAGCAGCTGTGCTGGATTCCAGCCGATGAGATCATGGGGGACATTCCACAGTCACACTGCAACTGTAGTGAGTCCTTTGTCTGTCCAGTTTCTTGGTGTCCCTGGTCCTCTAGCAGGGAAGGGGATCAAGGGGACTCACTGGGCTTGGATGCCAACACCCAGTGCCTCATTGCTGAGGTAGAATAATGTCTTGTTTAGCTTCAGCTGGACCTCAAAAGATGGAAGCACTGGACATGATACAAACGATGGCACCCTAAGCATGTCACTTGTCCCCTCTCTGTCCTTCCTCTATGACTTCCTCATGCTCTCCCTTCTGGTCTTCATATGTTTTATCCATTGTCTCTTCACTGGACTCCTTCATGTCTATGGTAGCTGCTGTGGATATTACTCTATGTAAATAAAACACTGATGGCCAGTGACCAGGCAGGAAGTATAGGCGGGACAAAGAGAGAGGAGAATTGGGGAAACAGGAAGAAGGAGGGAGAGACACTGCAGCCACCGCCAGGAGAAGAGCATGTAAAGAAGCCGGTAAGCCACCAGCCACGTGGCAAGCTATAGATTTATAAAAATGGGTTAATTTAAGATATAAGAACAATTAACAAGAAGCCTGCCACGGCCATACAGTTTATAAGTGATACAAGCGTCTGAGTGATTATTTTATAAGTGGATTGTGGGACTGCGGGGCTTGGGGAACCTGGAGAGAAGCTCTCCAGCAACAGGTAGCCCTGAACTTCTGTCCATCTGCACTTTGGTAATTGGTCTCTTGGTCCAGGCTCCTAAATTGTGACAGAAAGTTGGGAGATAGGAAGATAGAGAGTGACTTCCTATGCTGAAGTGTTTTGAGGGGAACATGAAGCTTTTGGTTCCTCAGGTTCTCTTGGGGTCTCCCTCCCTAGGAGCAAAACCTTAGGCCAGATCTTGGGAAAAGAAGCAGTTGAGAGTCTTTATGTTGGAAGCAAAGCTACCATGTGCAGTTGTGCAGGTTGCTCATCATACAAGGACATTCCCAGGCAGAGGAATGAGGTACAGTTTGCACTCAGCTCCCTAAAATACCAGAGGGTGCTTCCTACTTGATCAGTTTTGGCAGATAGAAGCTGTTGGCCTTTGTTGGGCATCAAGCTCTGGCTGGTCACAGAGGCTCCCTCTGGGTTCTGCTGGTGCAGGGGACAGGCCTGGTAGCTATCCTCTTTTAGGGTCTCGATGGCCTGTGCCTTTAGCACACAACTCAACTCCAGCTCCTAAGTCCCCCTCCCCTGTCAGGGGCCACCTTGATGTACAGTGTGAAGTATCTGGATATGGGATCCATCCTGTGTCTCACAATAAGCACTAGCCACAGGACTAAGAGAGACTGGACGACTCTGAGCATTGGACAGAGGACAGGAGGGAGAGAGGTCTCAGGGACATGGGGGCAGCTCCCTCAGAGTATGGGCAGGAGGAGGAGGCCTTGGGAACTGGTGAGGATTTTAGGGCATTTGAGATAAGAGCTTGTGGTAGTTTGAATAAATGGCTCCCATAGGCTCATAGGGAGGGGCATTATTTGAGAGGATAGGACATATGGCCTTGTTGAAGTAGGTGTGTCCTTACTGGAAGAAATGTGTCACTGGGTGTGGGCTTTGAGGTTTCAGAAACTTAAGCCAGGTCCAGTGTCACTCTCTCTCTTCCTGCTGCCTGCTGATAGATGTAGAACTCTTAGTTCCTTCTCCTGCACCATGTCTGCCTCTGTGCCACTGTACTTCCTGCCATGATGACAATGGACTAAATCTCTGAACTGTAAGTCAGCCCCAATTAAATGCTTTCCTTTATAAGAATTACCATGGTCATTTTCACAGTAATAGAAATCCAAACCAAAACAGAGTGTCTGCCCCATGTGCCCAGGAGTGCGGATGGTCTTATCCATCTGTCAGCTTGGCAAAACTCCAGCACCATCCCCTCCATGGACAAGGAGTTGGAGCTAGGCATCCAAGTCACCCAGATGATGACATGTTGCTTGTAGTAGGACAGGCCCATAGGATTGAGGAAATTGGCTCAGACCAGTTTCCAAGGCATGCACATAATATACTTCCTTATGAGCCAACCTGGGGTCTGCCTGAGGGCCTACCAACAGGTGCTGTTAAAGTTCCTGGTCACTGTCAGAGTTTCTGATCATGCCAAGCCAATGAGGGACGACCACACAATGCCACCAGATTGCAACACAGACTGGTACTGGGAGGAGGGTATATAAGGTCTTCTCCATTGTTAAATAAAGGAGTTTGTTGTTTGCCTTCAATTGACTCCTGGTGTCTGTGCCATTGACACCGTACCTTCTCACCCCCTCCCCCAGAGGGAGCTGTTAGAATCCAGGAACATCTGGCACCCAATGTGGGGCTTCTGTTACTTTCTCTCAGGGCAGGTTCTGATCATCTCCCTGTCTTCACTCACAGTGCTTGGTAGCGCCCCCAAGATGGTGTGTTTTGGTGAGAAGGCCGCTCAGTGTGGTGTTCTTTTGGTCCCTCGAGCAGGTAAGCATTGGGACCTCCATTTCTTTCCTTCTTTTGTGTTGTCTGTCATGTTTGTCTGCCCATTCTGTTAGGAAAGCACTTTTTTTTTCTGTTTCAGTCTCCTGGCACCTTCACATAAGGATTGACACCCCAGGAGGTAGAACCAAGGCTCGGCTCTAGAACACCCTTTCTTGTCTGGAGATACCATGTGGGCATACAGCCATGGCCTAAAAAACACGGAAGTCCCCCACTAAGCACAAGACATAAGGGTCTGATACAAATTCCACCCCTGTTGACTGTCATCTTCTCTCTGACTGCTGTTTGCTTGCTGTTTCCCTCTAAAAGATGGGTAATCTTTTCATCACCCCCACCACTTCCCTGTCGGATATCTCTATGAGATCCAATGATGAGACAGGCAGTTTGGGCCCTCGAAATCTGTCAGTTTGGGCCATGTGAAATCTGCCAAGGAGAACATAGCTGTCAGTTTAGGCCCTGAGACATCTGTCAAGAAGAATGTAGCTGTCAGTTTGGGCCCCTCAGAATCTGTCAAGGAGAAGGCAGCTGTCGTTAAGTCATGCCCTGCTCCCTGCTCTGTTCCACCATCGCTGGTGGCTACACCTCCTCTGTGGTATTTCTGGGAAGATCTAACCCAGCACCCACCTGCCTCAGGAGGTGGCTACTCTCCCACAGCACCAGGTGTCTTACAACCCTCACAGCCTGTGCCATTATCAGTCCATAGGCCCATAGAAGCCTTCCCAGTCAATGTGGGCCCAAATGCTGATGCCCAGCCCTGGATTCCCACCCCATAGCTGATCTCTTCCTTATCCAGAAGGCAGTCAATGAGTCAGGTCCAGATTCTCCCTACTTTCAGCAGGTCCTTGCTCAATGGTCCATGCAGTTACAAACTTATTTAGATTGGTACCATTTGCTTAAAGCTATGTTGGAGCCTGCAGTCTATGATGATCAGGCAGAATCCCAGGCCTGGACAAACATCTTACCCATGATATGCTCACAGGGCATGGGGAATATGTCCATCCTGTGCACCAGACACAGATTAGCTTGGATGCCTATTTTTAACAGGTGTTGGACCTGGCCCTCAAGGCCCTAAAAAGGGCTCAGCTAGGCCTACAAGCACTGAGCATCTCTGCCAAAGAACATGCCCCTGCCCCTAACGAGATGGAGAGATCCTATCTCCCTCCAATGGCAATCACCAGCCTGCCTGCTAACCCATGGGAGAGGGTATGCTTGTGTTTTTCCTCAGAGTGCCACTATGCCAATATGGGTCCCAGCAAGAGATTTGTGCTTGGCCACAGACCAGCCTGCTTCCACCAAGGAGGTAATAACCCAGGATGGGTAATGAATATACTCCCCTTTCTTGTCTCATTGGCCCTCTAAAGGCTGAAGACTTGTGGACCCTCACTTTTCTTCATTTTGTATGAAGCTTTTAAGATGAGGAAAGTTAATTTAGCAGGCTGGGAGCTAGCTAAATATATTAAGGGCCCATGGTCAGCTAAAGTTTCTATATTATTCATTGCAGCTAACACATGAAATTTTCCAATTAAATTAGACAAGAGCAGAGGTTATGGCCTTTGACTCTTTATTTTGTGAAAAGTGTGGGATGACATAAAAAGACTGTTCGATCCCTCCTGGATTTTCACTTATGTTTTGATTGGTGAGGTAGTGCTTTTTTAGTCTTTCTCCTTTTTAAGTGTCTCCCACAGCACATCTGGCAACAATGGGTGGCCACTAAGGTGACTCTACAGGTGTTCAATGGCTCTTAGACATCCAACTCATAGCCCTCCACAGGAGGTTATGTATGCTGATATTTTATTTGTATTAAAATGCTATTTGTATGTTAATAAATAAAGTTGCCCGGGGGTCAGAGCTATTAGCAAGCCATAGGAAAGCAGGGCAGTGGTGGCATACGCTTGTAATCCCAGCACTTGGTAGGTAGAGCTAGGTAAGTCTCTGTGTGTTCAAGGATACAGCCAGCATTGGATACACATGCCTTTAATCTCAATACCAATCATAGAAAACCTGGAGGTCTATACAGACAGGCCATGATGAGGTGGTCATGTGGTTGGGTTTACAACCAATGAGAAGGCAGAACAGAAACACTATAAAAAGACCGACACACAGGAAGTAGCTCTGGTTTGGAGAGGTAGGACCACTGCAGGAGGAAGGGTAAGGTTTTAGTTCTTAGCTCTGACCTCTTGGCTTTCTTCTTTGCATTGGTTCTGTGTTTCTTATTTAATAAGACAGTTGGTTACATCTACAGTTACGCATGCCTGGCTTTCTGAAATTCGAAAGGCTACTGCTTGACCCTCCCCACCCAGGATGACCCCCCAGGGATGGACACTCTTCGAGGGCTGATAGTCAATGACAGGTAAGAGCTTGTTTGTCAAGGCAACCTAACACAGGCACAGTCCAGTTGCTGAGCCCCCTGAGGTGGGGTCAACAAGGCCAGAGCAAAGAACTCCAACTCCTGCTGAGCACACATGTAACAAAATAAAAGGGTGGATATATAGTAGGACAGGCCCATAGGGTTGAGAAAATTGGCTCAGACCAGTTGCCAAGGCATGCACATAACATACTTCCTTATGAGCCAACCTGGAGTCTGCCTGAGGGCCTAGCAATAGGCACTGTCAGAGTTCCTGATCAATGTCAGAGTTCCTGATTGTGCCCAGCCAATGAGAGACAACCACAACGACTGGGTGCTAGGAGGAGGGTATGTAAGGCCTTCCTTGTTATTAAATAAATGAGTTTGTTGTTTGCCTTCAACTGACTCCTGGTGTCTGTGCCATTGATGCCATGCCTTCTCACCTCCTCCCCCAGGGAGCCATTAGAATCAAGCAACAGTTGCTGTCCTTGATTGGGGGGTACACCAGGCTCTCAGGGAACTGCAGAGAGATACTTACTTTCTTCAAGTTCTGTTGGGGTGTTCTCCCTCTCTAGGGGGAAAGCTTTTGGCTATGTTTTTGGAAAAGAAGCAATTGAAGAGGACTGGGGAGGTGACCCAGTGTGGTGGTTTGAAAGAAATGGTCCCCAAAGGGAGTGGCACTATTAGGAGCTGTGGCCTTGTTGGAGGAAGTGTGTCACTGTGGGGGTGGACTTTGAGGTCTCTCTTTTCTCAGGCTTCACTCCGTGTGACAGTCAGTTGACTTCCTGTTGCCTCTGAGTCAAGATGTAGGACTCTCAGCTCCAGCACCACATCTGCCTGTGTGCTGCCATGTTATCCATCCTGATGATAATGGACGGAACCTCTGAAACTGTAAGCGAGCCACCTCAATTAAATGTTTTTATTTATGAGTTGCCATGAGCTGGGCAGTGGTGGTGCACACCTTTAATCCCAGTACTTGGAAGGCAGAGCCAGGCAGATGGATCTCTGTGAGTGCGAGGCCAGCCTGGTCTACAAAGCAAGATCCAGGACAGGCACTAAAACTATGCAGAGAAACCCTGTCTCAAACAAACAAACAAAAAACCCCCGAAACAAAACGAGAGTTGCCATGGTCGTGGTGTCTCTTCACAACAATAGAAACCCTGAGACACCCAGGAGTAAAGTGTGTGCTGTGCCTCATGAGGACCTGAGTTCAGATCTGCAGCACCCATGTAGAAGGTTGGCCATGGTGGCACACACCTGCAACCCCAGTGCTGAGAAACAGTGATAGGAGGAATCACTGGCCAGACAGTATAGCCACCAGTGAGGTCTGAGCTTTGTGAGAGATTCCTGCCTCAGCCAGACAGGTTAGCCACTGGTGAGCTCCGGGCTCCGTGAGAGAGTCTGCCTGAAAACCCAAGGTGGACAGGCTAGAAAGATGGCTCAGTGGCTGAGTGCTTGTTGCTTTTATAGAAGACTTGAGCTTGGTTCCCAGCACCCATCTCTGGAGAGTCACAACCACCTCCAGTTTCAGGGGATCCAGTGCCCTCTTTATTTATTATTTATTTATTTAAATTAATTATTTTTGTTTTTCCAGACGGGGTTTTTCTGTGTAGCTTTGCGCCTTTCTTGGAACTCACTCTGGAGACCAGGCTGGCCTTGAACTCAGAGATCTGTCTGCCTCTGTCTCCTGAGTGCTGGGATTAAAGGCATGCACCACCACTGCTTGGCTCAGCTTGCTTTCTTTTTTTTTTTTTTTTTTTTTTTTTTGGTTTTTCGAGACAGGGTTTCTCTGTGTAGCTTTGCGCCTTTCCTGGAGCTCACTTGGTAGCCCAGGCTGGCCTCGAACTCACAGAGATCCGCCTGCCTCTGCCTCCCGAGTGCTGGGATTAAAGGCGTGCGCCACCAACGCCCGGCCTCAGCTTGCTTTCTTATAGAACCCAGGACCACAAGTCCAGGGATGGCACCACCTACAATAGGCTGGGTCCTCCCCCACCAATCATTAATTAAGAAAATGCCTTCCAGGCTTCCTTACAGCCTGATCTTATGGAGGAATTTTCTCCTTTGAGGATCCCTCCTCTCTGATGACCCTACCTTGTGTCAAACAGGGAACAAGGTTGCCATGCACAGTTATGTGGGTTATTCATTGCACAAGGACACTCAGTCAAAGGCAGGTGAGTCCAGTGCATGCTCAGCTTCCCAAGCTGAGATCAGAGCAGGGAGTCTGTGGTTTCCATAGGCATTTTATAGTGGGCTGGCCTTCCTTGGAGCTCAAGCCTTAGGGGACTTATTTCTAAAGGGAGAGGATGTGAATCGTTACATAATACATGGGTCCTGCATGGACTCTACAGTGTCCCTCGTGGGAAGCCCTCTTTAATGTCTTCCTTCCTACCCTCTCTGCTGACCTAGAGCCACATTTTATAACCACTTGTCCTTTCCTGTCATCCACTATCACAGGTATATTACTCAGGGTTCTCTAGAGTAACAGAACTTATCAAATGAATCTCTATCTATATAGAAAGGGAGTTTATTAGAATTACAGGCTCTGGTCCAGCTAATCCAACAATGGCTACCTATGAATGGAAGGTCCAAGAATCCAGTAGTTGTTCAGTTCATGAAGCTGGATGCCTCAGTTGGTCTTCAGTATACACCAGAATCCCAAAGAAGTAGGCTCTAATGCCAGTGAAGGAATGGACTTGCCAGCGAGAGCAATCAGGCAGAGTGAGAACTTCCTTCCTCCATGTCCTTTATATAGGCTTCCAGCAGAGGTGTGGCCAATTTAAATGTGGATCTTCCCACCTCAAAGATCAGGATTAGAAGTGGGTCTTCAAATGATTTCATTAAGAAAAATAATCCTTCACACATGTGCCCAGCCATTTGGATTTTAGTTAATTCCAGATGTAGGCAAGTTGACAACCAAGAGCAGGCATCTGAACCATAAAGCCATTTTCCACTGACAGTGAGCAGGCTCCTGGACAACACTGTCTTCTTTATGGGAGAGTCTCGCACCATGATGGTCACCTCAAGAGGTCTCTCCTGGAGTCTGAGTAGGCATGGAGACTGGGTTTGCAGAACTGTTGACTTTCATGACTTGGGGATCACCAGGAGATACCTACTTGTCAGAGGACAGAAGCAACATGAGAGGAACTCAGTGCTTGGAGAGTCAAATCAGGGAGAGCTGCCTCATACACACAGTGGTTCGGTGTGGCCCGTGGGGCTGTCCTTGAGGACCAGGAAGGGTTGTTCCACAGTATGCCTAAGACATGGCCCAGGACTGTTGGCATTGGATCATCTTGGCAGAGTTAATTCCTGGGGGCAGTTGCCTTGAGATAAGTCCCAGTCTAGGGGGATCAGAGTGGCCTGAGGAGACCCATAGATGGCTTGTCCCCTCTGTAGGCAGGGAGCCATGTGGTGCCAGGACTATCTTGGGATTGTCTGCTAGTGACAAGTGGCACTTCCCCCCACCCCCGGGGCTGGATGGCTGTTGTGTTTCTGTGATAGCTGCCCCCCCAGGACACACTAAGCATTTTATCCAGGTTCCCAGTTCCAGGCTTGAAAGACCTTTTGGCACTCAGCCTGCTGGGCCCAGGAGCTCCAGACATTGAACTTCCTGAGGAACATGGATCAAAACCTTCCCCACGGCTGGTGAGATGGCTCAGCAGTAAGTGTACTTACCACCAAGTCTGAGGCCCCACGTTCCATCCCCTGCCCCAGGTGATGCAAGGAGAGAACCGATTTCTGAAAGTTGCCCTCTGACCTTCATATGAGTGCCCTTGGGCACATATGACAGGCATAATAAAGAATTTAAAAAAATCTTCTTGTGGGCTGGAGATTCAGCTCAGTAGGCAGAGTGCTTGCTTATGCATACACAGCCCTGGTTCCATCCTCAGCACCACATGAGGTGGGAGCAGAGGTTCCATACTCAGCACGGGAAGGCAGAGGCAGGTGGATCTTTACGAGTCAGGGTCATCCCGGTCTACATAGGGAGTCCCTGTCTCAAAACAAACAAACAAACAAACAATGGGGCGTGAGGGGACTGAGAGCTGCCTGGGAAAACAAAGGCAGGGGCTGAGGAGGTGACTCAGTCACTAACGAGCTTGTTGCAAAAATGTGATGGGTCAGGTCCCACCACCCACGTAAAGGCCGGCATGGTGGCGAGGGCCTGAGTCCTGGTGCTGCTGGGACAGAGATGGTGCATCCCTTTAATCCCAGCCCTCGGGAGGCAGAGACAAGCCTCTGAGTTTGAGGCCAGCCTGGTCTACAGAGCGAGTTTCAGGACAGCCAGGGCCACACAGAGAAACCTTGTCTCGAAAAGCAAAAAAAGGATGAGGTGGAGAGCAGGGCATAAGCACATGCGTGAGTGTGCAAACACACACACACACATACACACACACATACGCACACACACACAGACACATGCACACGTGTACGCACACACACACATACACACTCACACACACATGCCCCCCCACGCCCACAGACACATGCCCTCCCCCCAACTTCCCCCCATGCCCACACACACACAGCTCTTGCTAAGCTGGCCTTCAGTTTCTGTACCCAGCAAGCACCCACCAGGCTTCCCCTCTTGCAGGCAATGGTCGCTCTTGTTAATCATGTCCATTGTCCATTGTTCCTGACCCATGTCAGTCTCCTTTCCCAGCAAGTGAATGACACATTCTAAAGGCAGGGAGGAAAACATAGCACACTTGGCGTATTCCTGGAAGAAGCCTTGCTCTGTTTCCAGAAAGTCTCACTGGCTGGTGTGTGTGTTAAAGAGAATGTTGATCTGGCTTGGACACAGCAGAAGTTGCAGAGAAATTCTGTTTGAGGTTTTGTCTGCCAGCTTGGACAAATTATTATTATTATTATTATTATTATTATTATTTTAGTTTTGAGACAGTCTATCATGTAGGTCAGGCTACCCTTGAAATCACTACGTAGCCAAGGATGACCCTAAACTCCTAATCCTCCTGCCTCTACTCCCTAAGTGCTGGGATTACAGGCGTGTCCACTACAGATGGTCTAAGTGGTGCTGGGGGCGGAACCCAGGGCTCCCAGCTCGGTGGGTGCTCACTACTGACTGAGCAACAGCCTAGTCTCGGCTTGAACAGCCTTGCCTCTTGCATGGCGTCTGATTCCGTGAACGATTCTAATGTGCATTTGTCCAGAAGAGTTTTCTCTTGAGTCTGGCTCTGCTTAGCACACCGGGAGCATAGCCAGGGATGTGACAAAATCATTCCTGAGTAAGGACATTTCTTGAGAACTTAAAAGCCCAAGATGCATTTTTCCTCCTTAAACCTTACAGCTCACAGCGAGCTGGGTATGGCAAAACAAGCTCAGAATCCTAGCACTCAGAAGACCAGACTTAGAGGCATAAGTCCCTCCCTCCAGGTTTCCAGACACTAGGATTTCAGGCTTCAGGCGAGGGCCACCATCTCTCTCTCTCTCTCTCTCTCTCTCTCTCTCTCTCTCTCTCTCTCTCTCTCTCTCTCTCTCATTGTACATGTACAGATCAGGGAACAACTTGCTGGAACCCACTTTCTCCTTCCATGTGGATTTTGAGCACTGTTCTTTGAAGCAGGCCAAACTCTAGTCTGGAAGGTTCTAGAACATTGGTGTCCATTAACAGTCCTAGGCTCTTAAGGAATCACCCTTCGTGTCTTAGCTGGGGTTTCTATTTCTGTAATGAAACACCATGACTTTTTTGGGGAGGAAAGGGTTTATTTGGCTTACACTTCCACTTCACCAAAGGAAGTCAGGACAGGAACTCAAACAGGGCTGGAACCTGGAGGCAGGAGCTGATGCAGAGGCCGTGGGG